TTCAGCTTGCGACGTACTGAGTGTTTGTTGAGTAAATTTTTGGGCATGTGGTAACCGAGTTACCCGACTCGGGTCGTTCTCAAAGGAAGGCTCTTCGGAGCTTCGTTCACTACCTAGTCATCTAAGTCACACAATCGAAAAGGTCTTAAACATTCTACTCACAATTTGAGGGTTTGAATTTAAACTAGATTAATCTACGAAATTAAGAGCATTGAAAGCAATTAACTAAGCGCACAAGAAGATGAGAGAAATCAAGGGGGAAAGAGGGATTTTGGCTCGCCGGAGTCTCTATGATCAATCGCACACAAATAACCGAACATTGTCATGCTAGCTAAAACCCTAGGTAGCTAAACCAAACTCTAGCACAAGACGAGCAAGCATTCAACTCCTAATCACACTTAGTCAAGCATTCACGATCTAAAGATTCGATCTTTTCCTCCAAGCAACACCAGCACAATATCGGTTTTCACAAAAGCAAACAAAGATATACGAAGTAATGAGGCTTAAGACTAAGTACCCACTCTTACACGCACTTGGAAGGAGAAACGGAGTCAAAAGCTCGAAACTTTACTCGAAACAATGTCGCCGGAAATTCGCCGGAAAACTTGATTCATATGCTCCAAACCAAAATATAAAAAAAAAAAAGAAAAAGGAAAATAGAGAGGAATTCCCAACTTAAAAGTTGGGAAATGAGGGTTCTTTTTTTTAAAATACAAAGCAAAATGTCTTTAAATAGCTACACCACAAACACACACTAAAAACACGCACATTAAATGAGACACTCTCGAGGTAGCTGCAAAATTTGCGAGCACGCGGGCGTTGGGCAGCACAGCAGGCACGGGACGCGGCACTCTCGTGGTCGCGCGCGAATCCGCGAGTACGCGGTCAGGCGAACGCACGGGCGCGTTGGGCAGGCAAGGGCAGTGGCACTCTCGACGGCGCGAGGATTTCCGCGAGTTGCGGACGCGCACTGGGCGCTAGGCAGCGACGCTCTCGACAACGCGGATCTTGGGACGAGCTCGCGGCGTGCACATGTGCGAGGCGCGGCACGCGGACACTCTCGACCTCGCGCTGTCGTCCGCGAGCACGCGGCGCACTGGGCGTGGGCTCGGTTCATGCTTGATTCTTCGTTTCGCTCTATCTTCTCGCACCGAACTCCGATTCGCACGAAACTTGGACCAAAATTCTCCCCATTGAATTCTCTTCGTCCCGGTATGGCTTGGTCGGATTTTCCGGGTTGGACGGCTTGGTCGGCTCGGATGGCTCGTCTCCTCGTGCGCGATGAAATGAACCTAATCACACCAAAAACAAAGAGAAAATGCGCAAAAAATACGAACAAGCTATACAAAAGCAAGAATATACAAGACACGACAAAATGGACCGGTCGAGCCTAAAAACGAACCTAAAAACCACAAAATAAAACACATAAAACACAAAAAACTAAGGACAAAAACACAATAAACAGTGTTCATGGTAGAATCCATCAACAAATTATCGCTCGACACTCTTCTATGTAGTTGGCTCCACCTCCCAAGTAAGAACAAAACCTTTAAGGTGGATTTTACTTACTGTTCACGTGTGATTAGAAATTAGAATCTCCATAATCCATAATTTCATGTTTACCACATACAGAGTCCAACACTCTCTCAACAACATGAATTTATAGGCCTGCCTCGTTACCCTCCCCTTACAACAAGGTATTATCCGCTAAAACTGCATTGATTGTGACGTGTAATTTAGAACCCAATAAGCTCGGTGGACTGGCTTGAGCGGTAAGCTCAGTTAAGGTCGATCCAAGAGATCTTAAGCCCAATTTATGTTATCTAAAGATATATGGTATTGGTTAAATATCTATAGAGTTTTGGAAAATATTCCTAAAAGATAATCAAGTTAGTTTGTGTATATCTACACTGTTATTCCAAAGGATCGGACTCCTTGGTTATTAAGGAAATCTCTTATCTTGGGGAGTAAGACATTAAATCCATTATAAAGCAATGATTCAGGTTCAATTTCTAATTAAGCTCTCAAAAAGACTCTCAATTACAATGTGTTTGAGATATAAGTTTTCTGACTTGAGCGTTAGATTTTTGTTGGGTTCTGTGAGAAACGTCGTCGATATGCACATCCAAATCTAATAAATTGAATTATAACGCAGCGGAATCTATTGTTAGGATCAGGACTTATGGTTTACATTTTTTGTCGACTCTGAAACGTTTCTCATTTTCGTTGATGGAGATTGTCTGAACTTCCACATGTTTTGTTGGGATCGTCGAGCTAGCCTCGGGATCACCATGTCTTGCGTAGGGTCTGCACTGTCCGCATGCGGGTCTTAGTCGGCCGCTGGCACTGTCCACGTAGGTCGTGCAATCGGGTGTTGGGCGTTGTCCGCATGCTTCATGTGTTGGGTGTTGTCGAGGTCGGTCGGTCATGCATCACGCCTACTTCATGTTTGTCCCATTTTTGTTGCGTTTTTCGTGTTTATTTTATCTTTCTTTTTCCCTCATTTTAGGTCATTTCTTTAGTTTTTAGTCCGTTTCGTGTTTTATTATGTGTTTTCCTTCATTTTGAGTCTTTAGGTGTTTTTTGTTTGTTTTTTCGGTTTTCTTTTGTGTTTTGTCGTTTTTGGTGTGTAGGTCGAAAGATTTGGGCGAACTTTATCTTCAGGAAAAGTTGGTTTCGAGAGCATAACTGGATAGAGGGGTTCGTTAGCGATGCATAGGAAAAAACGGAACTCAATTCCGAGTTCGGACGAACTCAAACAGAAAATGGCGCAGTGCAGAACAAAGTCGCGAGTCGCGAGTTTGAGTCGCGACTCGCGACTTTAACAGAGCCTCCAGCAGCCCAGCGACCCGTCCAACTCGCGACTCGCGAGTAGCGACCCTTTCAACCCCTGTTTTTATTTTTGCTCGTTTTTACTCGTTTTAGCTCCATTTTTCGCGCACTATATATCAAAACGAACCTTCAGACCTAAGGAACAACCCCCAATATCATTCCTTTCAATTTTTCTCTCCAAAAACTCAATATAATTAGCATAATTTTCTCCGCTTTTCTTTTTATTTCTCTCATGCTTGGATTGTTGGATACAAAGATATTTGGATTGAAATCTTGCAAGTCTTAATCCGGTTGTAAGTTTTTCAATTATATTTTATTATTGTTGATTGGTTTAATGTTCTTAATTCCAGTTAACATGAGATTGAATCTAAGCATGAGGTAATCCATTCACCTAGGGTTAGGGATTTTGATTCTTGTTTTGAATTATGGGGAATGTGTTTTGTTCAATCTATGCGAGTTGTGTGAATTATAGGGTTAGTTGATTGATCACCATTCTAACCTAGTTAATCAACGTGTAGAACTGAGAGGGGAGGCGTTGGTCGATTTAGGCTCGTATAGAGTAGACATGTTCAGAAACGTATTGTCTATGTGTTGCTTGTTTGAATGAGTTTATCGTTTATGTATGTGCTCTTGTTACGAAGAGTTATTGAGCATAGCCCTCTAGACGTGTAGGCTTGTTAAATCTCGTAACCGAACAAATAGCCGTTCAACATAGTTTGAGACTTGATGAGATTTCTCGACCCCTAGAACTTCTTATATTTCTTTAGCAATTTATTTGTTATATCATTATTCGTTTTCCTAGTTCTTTAGTTTTAGATATTTCTCCAAATCATCCTTGATTAGAGTGTTTAGGATTTATTTTCTTTTTGTGTGTGATTAATACCAACGCTAAATTTTGAACCGTCTTCCTCGAGAGATCGACCCGGGGAACGAATCTTTTGATTCGGTACTCGGTAAAAATAAAAATAATTTGCTACAACACTTCACGCAGCATGTTGGGTGTTGCGTGCTGTGATGCGCGAGTTGCTTGTTTGTCCAATTTTTGTTGCATTTTTCGCATTTGTCTTTCTTTTTTTTCCCCTATTAGGTCTTTTAGATAGCTTTTAGTTCGTTTTGAGGTTCATTCCGTGTTTTTCTTTGTTTTAGTCTTCTCTATTTTTTTTAGTTTGTTTTTCCCGATTTCTGCGTTTGTTTCATCGTCGTTGGTGTGCAAGTTGGGTTCTTTGATCGTTATGTTATGGAGAGGAAATAATTATTTTAGGGCCAATTTCGTACAAGGGTTCGTCACTAGGGCTGCACAAACGGTCAAAACCGAACCGAGCCGACCGAAAACCGAATTTTCGGTTCGTCCAATATTAAAACCGAAAACCGAACCGAAAACTACGGTTCGGTTTGGTTTTTAACCGAAAAAATATCGGTTTTTTCGGTTCGGTTATCGGTTACCCAATAAAATGAAGAAATGACAAAAAAAAAAAATATTACAAATAACAATAGATACTACTTAATAATTTGATCAAAAAAACCAAAATGCATAACGAAAAAAGAGAGAGAGAGAGAGAGAGAGAGAGAGAGAGAGAGAGAGAGAACTTGTCCCAAAATACAAGTTTATAAGTCTTTTACATCACATTAGGTTCATAGATAAAAATAACAAGTCTTGGCCACTCACACATAACAATAATAATAAAAAAGGGTCTAATAAAACACCATTACAAATTTCTCAAAGTCAACATGTAGCAACCAAAAGACCAAAATATATAAAATGAACATTGTAGACTAGTCATTTGACATCTTTCAACTTTCAATCTTTTTGCTCTTAGCCTCTTAGCATTGCTCTGTTGCAAGAAAAAAAATCAAATCAATTAAATAGTACAATATTAAAGATTCTTAGCCTCTTAGCATTGCTCTGTTGCAAGAAAAAAAAAATCAAATCAATTAAATAGTACAATATATGAAGTACACTATATCAAATGATAATGCAATAAATAATTAATAAAATGCACAAGGTATTATATCTTACCTTATTACATTAATCCAATATCAAACTCCGACAATATTACCATCCACAACATTTGTCGCCAACAAATCTACAAATAAGATAAAAACAAGAAAGTTTCAATGATAGTAATTTAACAAATAATATCCAACTCCAATAAACATTAAACCTAGACCTAATGACCTAATCCCCAGCCCCAACAACCCCCAGCCCCACCAGCCAACCCACCACCCAGCCCCCCAGCCCCCAGCCCCCAGCCCCTCAACCCCCAGCCCCACAGCCTCCAGTAAACAATAAACTTAGACAATTGCTACAATATAAAAAATAAATTAAGTTGCACAAAATAACAAAACAAAAAATTGATTTTTTATCACCTTGTTCAATTGTCTCAATAAATTTCAAATTTTCCTCTAAGGAAGATTTTGAACTCGAACCATAAGGACTACGACGGAGCCAATCTGGAGTGCAAATTAATGCTTGAGCCATCTTAGGGGCCATCGAAGCTCGAAAATCATCAATCACTCGACCACCGGTGCTAAATGTAGACTCCGAAGCTACGGTAGATAAGGGTATTGCCAAAACATCACGAGACAATTTGGATAAAATGGGAAACCGACGACTATTGAATTTCCACCACTCCAATACATCAAAACCTTTCGAAGCCTTTTCCAAGCGTTCATTTAGATATGTATCTAGCTCCGATTCCTCAAGCCCAATCCCGGATATCAACTCTTGGATTCGCATCTTTTTATCCATTACACTCGACGAAAAATTTTCGACATTCGAAGAAGGCGGTGAAGTAGAAGTTGATGACACCAAGCCACTATTTTTTTTATACTCATCAAAAATTTCATAAAGAGCACTCTTAGCTAAATTCGCTATCTCTTCTCCACGAGCCGAACCATACATACTTTTCAAATAGTAATGTAGGACGCCAAACTTGTGACGGGGATCAAGCATAAACCCAACATACAAAATCATATTAAATTTCTCTACATCAACCCAATATTTGTCAAACTTCTCTTTCATTTTTCTTGCCATTGCAACCAAATCAATATCATCACAACATATTCATTCCATCAAATGCTCATGGACTTCAAATATTTCATCAAAGAAAATAATAGAAGTCACAAAGAGTGAACCCGAAACTCGGAGGGTGAGATCATAAAAATGACGCAACACTTTCACAAATTTTTCCACAACGGTCCAATCATACTTGGTGGGCAAACCAATTTTTTCATAAGTTCCACCCAACATAAAATCTTTCCGAAAATCGGAATTTTGGATCTCATATCTATCAAAAACATTTTTAAAAATCAAAGCCGTGTCAAGCATCAAATAAGTAGAGTTCCATCTAGTGGCAACATCAAGACACAATGATTTTTTACTCTCAATTTTTTCCTCCACGATTAACTCTTTAAATTGTTTCAATCTCATTGGTGACGACCTCACATAGCGAACAACCGCCCGAACACGATCAATGGAAGAATTAGTATGTTTCAATCCTTCTTTAACTATAAGATTCACAACATGAGCAACACAACGCATATGCAAGTATTTTCCATTCAAGATAGAAGTGCCCCAATTTATGAATCTTCTTTTCAAGTAGGCTATAGTCACATCATTCGCACAAGCATTATCAACGGTAATACCAAACACTTTATCAATTCCCCAATCAAGCAGACACTTCTCAATCAAATAACCGACTTCATCACCTTTATGTTTAGGACAAGGAACAAAATTGAGAATCAACTTATGCAACTTCCATTCATCATCAATATAGTGACCCGTCAAACACAAGTAACTAAGATTTGATTCGAAGTCCACAAATCGGTTGTCAAAGACATTCTCAACCCCAACGACTTAATCAAAGATTTTAGACGATTTTTTTCATCGACAAACATGTTCAAACAATCTCTTGCTATAGTCATTCTCGATGGCACAATCAACTGAGGACATGAAATGCACATAAGTTGTCTAAAACCTTCATTCTCAACAAACTGAAAAGGCAATTCATCAACAATTACCATGCGAGCAATGGCTTTTCTAATAGATTCTTGATCAAATTTCCAATTAGAACTCCCTTCTTTAGTGCCCACACTTATATTTTGACAACACTTGGTTATTGTCTCGTCACCTTTATTATTAGGATGACCTTTGCACTTGCTCATATGGTGATTCATAGAAGACGTACCGTTCAATTTTGTATTGGCCGCGTAACTTTTTTCACAATGCTTGCATTTTGCCCTTTGCATGCCATTTTTATCCCTTATCAGATCAAAGTGCTTCCATGCCTCTGCCCTTCTTTTAGTCTTTTTTCTCGGAACCCCATCATCTCGTTCATCCGATTCTCCTTCTTCATCTTCATATGCATTAGATGTTTCCACAGGTTCTTCCTCGAACGTGGCATTTTCACTGCCCGGTTTTGGTTGTGGATCATCCGATGATGCACGTCGTAGTGTACTTGAACTTGAAGTCCTCGAACATCCCGAAGGACCCGAACCGCCTTTTTTGCGTTTTGTACCTACAAAATGCATAATTATGCAACTAATCAGTTATCCACATTGATTCCACATTCAAGTTAATTTCATAATTAAATTTCACATTCAAGAACTAAAGCTACAGTTATCCATCTCATAATTATTTTGCTTATCAAGCTTAAGATACTTTTTAGAAAAAAAAAAACTGGTAATGCTGCTGGCCCTTTGATATTAGAAGCAAATTGACAGAAACCAGTGGATACTACCGGCCTTACGCTATCCGAAAAAAAAAAGCACTTGTTGAGCACCAGTTCAGGATATTAAATTCCATCCTAAAGTAACTGGTTCATCATGTTAACAATTTGGAAACCCAAAAACTATTTCAGAGCCCTCAACTACTGATTACCAATAGAAAAGAGACCATAGATAGAATAACTCAAAGAACAAGAAAATCAACTAAAGACATCATCGTGATATTTGAATCGGTTAAGGAATCACCACGTATCACAATCGAGCACCAAATCTTAAACTACTGGAATGCAGCTCAAATCATAGGCATAAAAAGTAACCAAAAACAAACACCAGCTTGAATTGATTGGGTACAACCAGTACAATTGCGAACGAGAGATTCAAAGTCACGAGTTAAAACTTGCAAGAAGAACAAGAGATTGAATGTCAGAAAAGAAAATAACGAACCTGAGTTGCAGCCCTTACGAGGGGATTTAGGTGGCGAACTCATTCGATTAGACGAGCTTCGCCGTCGACTGACAGTTTGCTGGTGGAGTGTGTGCGGGAGCAGGAGGACCGAGCGAGGCGATTTAGGATTTCAGTAGTCAGAGAGCGGCGAATTGGGAAATAGGACTTTAGATCGTCGATGCCGGAGATGGAGCAGGACTAACAGTTTGCTGGTGGAGTGTGATTTTGTGCCTCGCGGCGGACGGGCGGAGAGATGCTAAGTAGGGTTTTCTTTTCGTGGAGGATGAGTTCGGTTCTGTTGACAAATCTTGTATACGGATCGATGGAATGGATTATGGGAAGATGAGTGATAATAAAATGGGCCTGCGTGATTTGTAGTGGGTGGCATGTTACAGCTTTGGGCTTGCATAATACATCATATATTGGGCCTGTATAATACAACATATATTGGGCCCTTTAATTATATGTATATTATCAGTTTTCGGTTCGGTTTGGTTAACCGAAGGGTTATAGCCAAACCGAACCGAAAACCGAAATATGGAGAAACTAGTAACCGAAAACCGAACCATTTTTTCGGTTCCGGTTTCGGTCGAAACTGAATTCTCGATTTCGGTCGGTTTCGGTCGGTTAACCGCAGTTTGTGCACCCCTATTTGTCACCATTAGACCGGAGAAAACAGAACTAGATTCCATTTCCAAACGAGCGTAATCCGAACCCGAGACATGAAGCAGTACAGAGACACATTAAAAGCTCTCATCCCACCATACTCGATTTCTATCCGACAACCCCCATTTTCGCAGGCGTCCAGCAGCCCCGCCTCACATCTACACCACGTCCAGAAGCTCACGATCAAAAGGCCACCCACGCCGAATTTGAGGAGCCCTGCTGCAAGCCGTCACCTCACAACAACCATCTTTTCTCTCGTAAGCCGTCGTCCGCGAGCTACTAGCGCCTATCGTGAGCAGACGAGGTTCCAGTCGTTTCGACCAAGAACCCTTGTTCCCGCAGCCTGAGCCTTCCATTCGAGCATCACCTCAACGGTTACACTATAGTGAGCAGTCGACAACCTTCGAACAACACCGTTCTTTCAAGCTCACGACCAGAACGCGCCATAGCACTCCTCCACGCCGCGAGACGGACCTGCTTCACGCCGCGGCACCGCTACTCATCACGTCAGAACTGCTCTCGTCGCTCCGCGAAGCTCCTCCACGTCGCGGGACTGCCCAGCATCACGCCGCAAACAACCGCCGCGCCGCGGCAGTCGCATCCTTCATGCCGTGCCAGCTTCTCCACGTCGCGTCGCGCCCTGATTTTCTTCTCCGCAGTCGCGACTTCTCCTCCCGCGGCCGCGGCGTTAAAATGGCCCCAAGCTCTCGGACTTCAGAGAGGAAACGTCGTGGCCTCGGGAAGATTCGCGGCCGCGGAACCGTTGTTCATCGTGGCCCGCGGGCCCCTCCGCAGCCGCGAGGAGCGCGAGTTGCAACTTTTAAATAGCAGATTTTGTAGTTTATCGGGGATTATGTTATAATCGAGGGTTAAGCTTTTTCTGGTGCTTTACCTTTTCTTCACTCGTTTTTCTTCACTCTTCACATACTTTTGATCGGAGAACTCGGATTTAAACTCGGATTTGGTCGTAACTTTGGGGATTAATCTTGTTTATCGTATTTGACTTTCAATTTCGGTGAATCATAAGACTTTCTATTCCTTTAGTTATGAATATGCTTGTATGGATTTACGAGATTGTTTGTGTTGAATCGATCATGAGTGGCTAAATCCCTACGCTAGGGAATAGGGGATTATCGTTTTGGTCTCGATTGTGATTGTGAGATTCGTTATTGTTCGTCTTATGCGAATTGGTCCTTATTAGGTTTCTTCAATAATCGTTCTTGAGTTTTGAGAATTGTTGAAGGGTGACACTTCAACTATTTCAATTGAATTCGATTAATTCGTGTTGATATTGGTGAATCTATTTGATTAGTCAGTTAACCACCTTCTAGTCTTATTTTATCGACTCTTAGAATCGAAAGGGGAGGAGTCGGTCGAAATAGGTTCGCATAAGCTAGGCTTGTTCGTAAATGTATTGCCTAGGAGTTAAATGAATTGTTAATTTGTCGTTCTAATTTGTTCTCTTGTTACGAAAAGTTATTGAGAATAAGTACTTGAATGTGTCAATTATTCAAATCACTTAACTGAACAATCACTTCCCCATTAATGGCAATTCGAACCAAAACGGATATTCCCGACCCCCTAGCTTCTCAAATCTCATAAAGGAGGTGTGAATATGTGTTATGGAGGAGTAAAGGATATACAATAGAAGATATACAATATGTGTTTGAGGTTTCAGGATTTCTATTGTAATAGACTGAAACCTCAAACTCATGATTTTTCTCTTTTGGAGACCTCAAAAAACGTGTGAATATGTGTTATGGAGGAGTCATGGGACTTGGTATAATCAAAAGTTTCGAATGCAAAAATATAATCAAAGAAGTTCATTATCAACAAGCTAATTAGCAAATTTGGTTGGTCAAACCGCCAAATGAAGTCCAATCCACTAATAAACAAACTAGTAAAGTAAGAAGTCCAAAAGGGAACAAATTAATAAAGCTATTTAATTAATACGTAAACATAAATAATTTAGCAGGATTTGGGGGAACAAATTTAGAATTAAGGTACACTGCAAACTAAACCAAAGGAAAATGAATACAGTTGGCTGACTTCAACGGAATATCATGAAACAACAGAGGGATCAAAGGTGATTTAGGTGAATCAAACAAAAGACCAATTAACAAACATGAAGCACAAGCAATGGGTATCTTCTTGTTCATTCAACACCTTCCAAGCTACTGCTCTTTCATACGAAATCGGGCGTCCCATGCTCGACATGCAAATGCCGCCCTCAACACTCGCAAAACCCTGACACAGAACAATATAGTAAATTAAATGAGAATGGAGTTATGTCTGATCTGAAACAGTATTCATGCAATGCAATTACGGAATGACTACAAAACTATCCCGGGCTTGGCTACAAAATAAGATGATAATGTTTTTTTTTTTTTTTATCTGTATTTGTAATAAAAAATATATCTGACTCAAATATATGGTAAGTACCTGTTGCATGATCTGTGGGAGCTCGGCAAAGAGTGTCTTTTTGCCGTTGTCACTGAATATCTTCTCTAGTGAAATGTCCTGGAGTGCAACTAATGTTGTCTCGAGCATATCAAGTCCCGCTTGATTTGCAAATGTAAAAACTGGCAATGGCTGCTCGAAAAAAAGATGGAGAACATTTATTTATTAACTTTGTAGAGTCGAACCTCGTAATAATTAAGGCAAGAGTCGAAATAAGAATTACCTTTAAGGAGAAGCACAACACAGCATCAGAGTGGTGCCAGATTGATTTCAGAAGGACATCATTTCCTTCTGCCACAGGTTTGAGTAACTCCACCCCCAAGAAAAATCTGCAAACAGAAAAAAAAAAAAGAGAGAGAGGAGAGAGAGAGAGAGAGAGAGAGAGAGAGAGAGAGAGAGATTATGTTAATTTTAATATAATTGGTTTTGAAAGAATTTTACTATTCTGAATAAACAAGAGTAAAAAATAAAGTGAATGATTACTTATAGCTTTGGCAAATCCAAGAGGCAAGTGTATTGGCCTGGGGCGTGGCGGGTGGGGCAGGCGAAGCAAGGCGTGAAGGAGAGAGTGCCAATGCGACCTTTTGAACAGAGGAGATAATACTACGAACATACTGTCTGGCCATGGCAGCCACGCTTTCCTGCAGATGCATCTCAAACGCAAACTGGAATGCAATCGTCATCACCGATTTTACGTGGTCGCCCGACAACAGTCGATTCCCTGTGGGGCCCACTTCTAGAGTGGACGCAAGATCCAGTGTGCGCTTCGGACTGTTCCCATCCTGTACCATACATTTAAATGGTCTGATCAATAATATAACCACACAATATTGGACCATAACTTTTAATTAATTGCCAAAATGACTCATGTTAAAACAAACATCTTTAAGGTTATTTAAGATGACTGGATTTGGACTTTACTGCTTTCGGATCAAGTGGAATAATACGGAAACCACAAGGAAGAAGGGGCGCATCATCACAGAAAGAGGAATCAATAGGGGCAAATATAAGTTCCGCACACGTGCCAACCGCATTCTCGTCCACTCCATTGCACATCTGAGAACATGCAAAAATATAAGCACACTATAATAAAATTAAAAATATATGGGGAAAAAAAAAAAAGACTCACTTGCAAGAGAAAGATATCGTTAGGCATAATCATGTCATCTCTGTACTGGGCCATGTTTTCGAGCCTAACCACTTCCACAAACTGTTTAAGAGGGAACAAGAAAATTAAGCATGGTTAAGATCGCGAAAAGACACAATTAACCTCTAACATAATGTAACCATACTTGGTAAATGACTAATATACAAGTAGAAGGCACTTGCCTCTTCATTTTCGATAGTATGGGCCAACGGAAGTATAACCTGACCGCCAAAACATCCTACTCGAGCCAAGGGCAGAGTACATGGGATCGCTTTAACAGCAGCAGCAGAATAGGCGTCGATACCACAATCGGCCCACTCCGAACGGTGTTCACGTAGGAACCTTAACAGTATAGCAGGAGGAACATTCTGACAAAAAATAAATAAATACTGAGTAATATTACCCTGAATAAGGCAGAGATAAAATGTTATTACTCATTTTCATCTGCAAGGATACATTTTAGGAAACAAATCAAATATGGGACAAAAAAATAACTAAAGTAGGCAGGTCATAATTTGGTTGCTCTTAATCGCATTACCCAAAAAAAAATTAAGATGCGAAATTAAACTAATTGGAATGAAGACTATTCTTCAAACTACAAGGTAAATAAGAAAAAAAAAAACAAAAAAAAAGCACAAAATATGAGACTTTAAAACTTAAGATGCAACAATACTAAGTACAAAGCCCCCGACAATTGACACCAAGCAGGAAAAGTATTTTACTTGATTCAAGTAGCAAATCTTTTTTTTCTTTTTCTAATCAGTGATCACAATATATGATTCCACAACCGAGACACAGTTATTTGACTCAAAATTTTAAATCCTTACTTGTAACAACATTGATGCCTTAGCACATAAAACAGCATTGCTCATCGAGGGGAACCCGTTCGCGTAGGTCGAAATCGTGCCCATCAATTTCTCGGGAGAAGTGTTCACTTGGATAGTGACATCATCAACTCCGTCACTTTCCATCGTGGACCAGCCATCATCCGCAAACCCATTGAGAGCCTCATTAAAACCCCTGTGCACATTAAGAAAGATAACTACATATACATCTAATGTACTCAACTGCTACTTAAGAACACAAAGACGGCTTCGGTGAAAAATTATTATATATTATGTATTTAACTAACCTGCTCAATCTTTGTCCTAGAGCACGTAAAGCTGCTGGCCTTCGTCCCCATCCGGTGACGTTAGGCTGTGATATTTCGTGGGAGATTTGCCTTAGATGCCGTAAAGCCTGGGGAAAATTTAATTCCTTTCAATATAACATAATCCAAAACTACTGTATGGGAAAAAAAAAAAATGAAGTATAACTTAAACTTAAAATTTTACCGCTAATGTTGTCCGCTGAGCAAGAAGAGTTGAGGATTCATATAGTGGACGCAACACTTCAGGCACACTCCATGGCTGATGAACATAACAAATTTTCAAAATTCTATTCAAGTGTTTCAATATAACAGCTCATGATTAGAGAAAGAAAGAAAATGGAAATCTACAATTACAAGGGCAGCAAAAGTACCTCCAAATCCATGTGATCAACTATGTGAATAATGGAGCCGCCACCTTCACACGGTCTTATTAGGTATCCACTTGGAAGCATCTCGGCTCTTACAAAATGCTGCAAAGGTGGCATGCTGGGTCCATTCTGGGTGTTGTTTAATGATCTTTCGCATACCTAAAGGAAGAAGAAAGTTGCTATCTTACTAAAATTTTTAAACAAATACGAAAGCTAAACCAAAGGGAAACGGATCAATATTCTCTATTTATTCATTTATTTTTTGAATGCTCATTAAATTTATAAGTAGATACCACAAGACTCCCGTCCTCCATAACAGATGTATAGCGTAGTAACCAGAAGTCACGAGCAGGGGCCAAAGTCGTGGGTGCATAGAGCTGAATCAGTTATCCAATAACAAAGTTATTAGTAAGGAAGATCACTAGTTAGTACTCAAATATAGTTTTTGCGCAAACACTTGTGTATATAGATATAGATACAGATATTAATTCATACATATACCTGCAAGTAAAGCAATTCAATGGTTCCACCATTAGCAGTAGACATGACATTGAGAACATCGACCGCTCGACAATCACGATACCATGAAGGCCGATCTTTAAGAATTTCGGCCACCTGAATTTAGGTGTCCAAGTTCAAATAAACTCAAGTTTGTGGCATAATGCTCCTAAATTAACAGAAAGAGCTCGTCAAAAGAAACATACCCGTGTGGGTTCGAGTCCCACGAGGCCGCATGCACGTGATGCTACACCAGTGCAACCATGAGAAATAGCTATGATTCCAATGGAATCCGGACCAGGCTGAGCCAAACACAAACGAAATGAATGTTTTATTTAGCAAAAAAATTAAGGAAAAAAAAAGTAATGTTATTGTGCCTTCAAGATGATTGAACAAATTTAGTGTACAACATTGACAAAGGCTTAAGGGAGCCATTCAAGTTTTACTTTGATAATAACTCCTTCTATGCGTACTGTATTAAGAATTTGATCATCATTAGAAATGATTACTAACTTAAATTTCAAACTAAGGCTAAGAGACTATAAGAATACCTTCATCCCAGGCATTTGGACCCACTCCACAGCAGTTCCAGTGGCCTTCGATAGAAACTCTGTTAAAGTCTCCTCTGCAATGGACAAAAGTCTGGCAAAAAAAGATACAAAACATTTCATAATAAGTACTTTAGACAGTGCGAAGAACAACATATAATAATCGAACATACGATAAAAAAAAATGTCGGTACCCAGCAGGACTTGCATCCCTAGGTGGATGTTGAGGAGTCAAATGGCGGGGCTGACCGCTTGTCACCACAGACTCACAACTGTTATCTGTGGAGGCCATTGTTCCCTGTAATCGTAAACAACCAGTGCTGATTAATAGTTAGACACAAAAATTTAAATAAAATGTTACTATATTATTCTTCTTCAGATCAATTTACAAAAATTTTGCAGGCTGTTTTCAGTTTTCTTTATTTCACACATCTCACCAAACACAAATGTTCGAAATATATATAGAGGAGAAATGCTACAGTCCCTTTACGGAACCATTTTGTTGGGGGTTTGTAACCGTAAGGGATAGTTGATCTAACGGTTACAAATCCACCGTAGCATCGATTTATGAGAAAAATGTGTACCTTTTGAGAGTGTTGGCGGAAAAAACTGTTGTCGTACACCAACTGGGAGACTTGCTTTTGCAACCGATCGTTCTCCTCCATCAGCAGCTTATTCATGGCCGTCAATTTCCTGTTCACTGCCTGAAGCCTCGACGCCTCTTTTCGCTGCTTTTCCCTACATCTGCATATCCCAAAATCATCAAACCAAATAAATAAATAAACAAACAAATAATAATCCAATTGCCATCAGTACAAATAGTTTGTTTACCTTCTGTTTTGGAACCAGACTTTGATCTGCTTGGGCTCGATGTTGGAGAGGATAGGGCATTCCCGGATCAGCTGCTGCCGGCGCAGTGAACTAGGCTTGGGGCACTCGTGGTACAACCTCTCTAATGCCTCCACCTGCTCCGGGGTGTACCTTACGTACTTCCCGTTGTCCATCGCCCCCATTTTGTTGCACGCTGATGTCACCGCCATCGTTACTTAGTTCTACAATATATAGATACACATATACTCATATATATATATACTCTGACATGCACATAACTGTTGCAATACACACAGTCAATAGTCGTGCGTGCGTGCTTAGGAGAAGCTTGTGTCTGAAGCGTTTTGAAATTTCCACGAGTCTTCAAGTTGAGGCAACCTCAGAGATCTCGAGAAATTTCACACAGACACACACACACAGACAGAGACGACAAAAAAGAGAAGAAAGTGGGGGCAGAATTAGTGGTGCGTACCTGTTGAGGGGGGGTGTTTTAAAGGCAAACGCAATCAATCGTCCTTTGTTCCTTCACAAGCTAGCACACAGCAGCGTCAAGCACTAAACACACAATCTTTCATGGCTGTTCTGTATTCGAGAAAATGAGCACAGCTGAAACGGTCTCCAAAGACAGAGAGAGAGATATGAAGTGCAAAAAAGAAGAGTAAAATTTGGCGTGGGTTTGTGTGTGTGTGTGTATGTGTGTGTGTGTTTCTCTCTCTCTCTCAGAAAAGAAAAGATTTCTCTCTCTCTCTCTCAGAAAAGAAAAGAAAAGGAGGGGACAGGAGTGAGAAGTGGACACCCTCTTTTTAGGAGTGCACTATATATTAATGTCACACAGTTTGAGTTGGGATGTTCCTTTTTGCCTATGGTTTTTGCTTTCCGCTTCTTGCCGTTTTCTTTTTTTTTTTTTTTTTTTTTTTTTTTTTTTTTTTTGTTATTTTGGCCACCGGCCACCCAGCTCGAATCCGAACCGGTCAAACCCGTTGATCACAGTCCGTTTTACTTTGGATATAGCATTCATTAGTATTTTTTACTTTTTTTTTTGTAGCCAGTCACAGTATTCGGAGCATTGGTCCGACTAATTCGTTGGTCGGCTCGGGTCGCACACCTGGTAATGGTGGGTGAGTCTCTCAATAAGGGTTTTCTGCATGCACAAGGACTCGAACTCGAGACTTTGTTTAAGTGACAGTTGCTTACCATTTGAGTCAACTCATTCTTTGATAGTTGTTATTACTCAGACGTTTATACTTTCTCAGTAATTATACACATATTGGAGTAATTATATAGATTGGAGATAATCCAACTGTTATGTTATATTTAAAAAATAATACATATACATAATATATATATATATATATTTAAAAAAACTGTTATGTGATTCCTTGCCAAATGACACTTTGAACCACGTCTTTGAGGACATTATCTCGCTTTTGTTAAAATTAAATTGTGGGTCGTGTCGACATGTCAGTAGGAATCTTAACATTGTTGCCCATAATCTAGCTAAGATGGCGTTGTCGTCTACGGGATCCTTCTTTTGGAAGGATAGTCTCCCGTCTTTTTTATCTCTTTCTTTTGATAATTTTCGAAGTCCATGTATCTAATGAATGTTATTATAGTTGTATTTGCAAAAAAA